TAAAACTGTGCAGAAAACAATCATATTTACATAAATATGATACATAAATATTTACATGGAAATAATTGTTATGCACCTGATCGGAGCAAAGTGATCGAAGTGGTCACGCGTGCGTCAAGGAGCCTCTTGAGCAGACGCAAGTGTCAGGTCCCGGGGAATGGGCAGTATTTTATGGCAGGAGAGCCGTCGTTAACAAGAATACATGTTTACCTGGGCACTGGCTGCCTGCCTGGTGAGAGAGAGGTGCCCGGTAGGCGAAGCTGAGACGTCTGCTCCGAGACGTCAGCCTTTGGCATCGCCTCTGAATCATGCTCTGCTTCTGTGTTGGCCGCTGCTGTGTAAACACCTTGGAGCTCAAGTGGAAACGACAACATGATTAATACCATCTTCCATGCAAATATTTGTCCTCTGGGATTCAGCCAAAATTTGTGTTTCTAGGACTGTGAATCTGCAGGATTTTTTTTTCATAATAAGAACAGAGCAGTTCGGAGTTTTGCACAAACTGAATTTGGGCAAAAGCAAGTATACTAATTTCTGAACAAATGTCTCCATTTTTTTCCCTAAATTCTCCAGCTTTTAATTTGATTTTAGCTCTTCTCTTGTACCTGAACACTCCAAACTATTATTATTATTTTCTCTTTCTTCCCCTGTCTCTTCTCACTTGGAGTGCAAGACCTGCAAGCAGTGCCCATGTCTTGAGTCTGTTTGACTAGAAACCAAGGCCTGAATGACGTACTCCATGAAGAGTCTGTTTGCCCAACTGTAATTTTATGTTATTGCTATTCCTTTTATGTCCCATCATTCTCCCTTTTGTTATCCCATTGGATAATTCCATGTTGAGGTTCCTATGCTCACAAGGAGATCTGTGCCGAGAGATCAGGCTTGCCAGCAGCACCCCCAGCATCAGCTCCCCATAGCTGACATCCAGCCAAACCCTCCCTCCTCTTAGCTCCCACTATGGGTTACAGCAGCCAGATGGCTCCTCCAGGGCCAGAAACATTATGGAAACCAGCTGCCTTGGGAAGCTTTTAAGGAGATTCTCCCCAAAATGTTTTGGGGAGCTCATGGGGAAGCTAGACCCTCCTTCTGCAGGTGCCTGGAGGGAGCCAAGCCTTGCCCCAGGGTGTTTTAATCAGTGATCATATCAAATGCGAGGTTACTGATGCCTGTGATGTGTTTGCTTTTAGGTGAGCAAGAATAAAATCTGATTCTAGTCAGGAGACCAATTTTTAACTTGCAGATTGCTTCTAAAAGAGCCAGTAGAGAGGAATTATGTGGTAAAGGAGGCAAAGAAATGAGGCTAACAACTTGATTGAAATAAGATATCTGGTATGGGATAAGGGAAATCAGTTGCAGAAGTGACAGCAGCTGCATCTCAGTATCACTAGGAGGGTGACGAGAATTTATTTTCTTCTGCCCTACTGCACAGTTCAGGGCCCACTTCTCCTTGAGGTGCAGGCTGGTGTCACCGGTGTGACATGGCTCTGGCAGGGAAAGCAGCTAGATCCCATCCTGAGATATCTGCAGCCTGAGGGTGGGTCACATCCAGTGTTCCACAGTCTAAAATTGGGACAAATTGGGTGCTTTCGGGATTTCTGTATTTTTTTTCCATGGAATATGAATATATTCTATATTTTCTTTCCCAACACCTATTTGGGTAATGGAGGCACAAGAGAAAATGACATGTCATTGAAGGAGTTGCAAATTTGTCATACCTTGTCACAACAGCATGTGTGTGAACATACCTCTTCATAGCTTCTAATAACAGTATTGCTGAAACAAGGCTTGACACCTCCTTTGGATAATGCTTCCATGGTTAACTAACTTGCCTCACTTTTGTCCACTCAGGCCAAGGAACAATCTTTCTTTTTTTTTCTCCATAGGAACTATCATATCAGTCCTACTATCATGCTACCTCTGCATTTTAAACACACACACCTCTCGCAAAAGTGTCTTTGTTGAAGGTTTATAAAATGATATGAGAACTTTTTTTTTTCTTTTTAATATAACTACCTTAAATAAATCTATAACATGCTATCTCCTGGTCAGCATGAATGGCATGTTTCACCTAGATTACAGGAAAGCAATCTGAGCCACCTTCCAGAAAAAGCACACGCCGTCAAATGTGAGAGGAAGTAAAAAACAAGTGTCAAATGTTTTTTAAAGTTTAATTATTTCTGTTCAATTGCTTTTCTACACAAATAGATTCTCCTTATTGGCACAAACACCCAGAAGCACTAAGGCAGCTCTAGCAGTAGCGTTAAGTCCTATATCATGTTCTGCACTTTGATTTATGTATTTGTTTTCTTTCTTCTTGCGAGCCTACCAAGCTGTTTGTTTAAACTGCTTAGAAAATGCTGTACCATATACATTACGGTTTATTTTAGCTTTTATGCTATGCTACTTACAGAGCATTTAACAAATGCTAGTTATCCTTTTCAGTATTTTTTGTGTGGCTTGCTTAAAGACAGAAAAAGACATTGAGTTTCAGCATTACAGCGTTGGTTAGAAATTCAGAAGCTGGGGTTGTAGATTCACATGCATTCTTCTAAAATAATCAGCATTCACATTAGGAAAGCAAATCCTGCTGTATGTTATCTATTACAATATCAGTTCCATTGTGCTGAGTTATTTTATATTTTATGTTTTCTAGAAGATCTTCAAGGTTTCTGCTATCTACTTGCTGAATTTTATGGACCGCACCTAGCTGAACTGTAAGTCTCCCTATATCATTTCAAATCTTTGGTTCACTTGTTCTTTACACATATGGATGTAGAGTCATACTGAAGCATGGGGTTTTCATTTGCAAAAAATGTGTTGTTATTGAAGCAGAGGTGTTTGACAGAGATTCTAGATTTGGCACTTGGATGAAAGACCCCACGTAGCTCAGTGAATAAATATTGGCTGCTGCTGGTAACCATTTTCTTAGTGCATTTGAATCTCAGCTCAGGCCTACCTGATGTAATTACTTTTTGAATTTCAACTCATTCGGCTGAGGGAGGAATTTGAATGACCTTGTCTGTGCATGACAGGTTCAATAGAGCTGTGGTGCTGTAGTAGTTGTCTCTTACTTTCCCTTCTGCCTTTAATCAAGCTTTCTGATTGCTAGCCCCTACATGGTCTCAGCCGTGACCTCACTCATGCACGGTTTTGGGGGAGGCCCACTAAGGAATGTAAACAACTAGAAAATTTAAATGTAGGTGATTTTATTTCTCTTTAAAAGTTCCTAGTTTGATTAATTTTTTTTTTGCTAGACTTTCTTCCTCCCTAGGGTTTTCTGTTTCTCTGTTTTATTTTTAAATCTAGCCAAGGCATCTCAAATTGCTTCCAGGACTAGGAAGTGCTATAATCAAAGATTTGAACTTAATTCTTGATTAGTCCATAGGTATGTTCCCCCCCACCCGCAAAAAAAGAAACCATCCTAGAACTTGTGTGAGGTGATTAAAGGTTAAGGATCTTTAAAGGATTTCTGCTTATTTTCTTGAGTTAATGATTGAGCATTTGTATGTGCCAAATTGCATATGCATTAACTTTAACCTTTAAATCTTTGTCACACGTATGATTGATTAAAAAACAGAGCAGTCATCATGTATTTGACTCGGGTGCTACCTATAAAGCACAGTGCTTTTTCATCATCCTGGGATACAATTTTAAAGGCTGAGTAGGATGCCATGGCAGAAAATCATTAGGACCCAACACTACACGGAGCAGCGATTACAGGCCACTTTGAAGTGAGCCGAGGCTATTGTATAGCACAGTGGAGATTTACCTTCCCATGGAAATAGCTGGTACCTTCAAGCATCCAGAAAAACATAATAGTCTTTGTTTTCACACCATTTCCTTCAGCATAGACAGGGAAATGAATGCCGATGTGGTGTGCCATTCCTTGAAGCTGTGTAAACAGGATCCCGGACAACCACTTTGTCATCTCTACCCTCCTCCTAAGGTGAGTTTCTTTTACATGTTTTTCAAAATTGCAGGCTGCGGAGGGTCTTTTAAGCTAGAACTGTACAGCACAGAGAGGTTTTCAATGTGCGTGTTTCATGTGGGGAAAAAATGTTGACATTTCAAGTGTGGACGCATTCAGTAATGTCTGTATGGGTGCTAACTGCATAGTACATTTTATTTGCTTCCATGGCTACATATGATCCTGCTGTGTAGGGTTTCATAAGCACGCTTATCAAAGAGGGGGAATTACAGGAAAAAGTTCTCTTGTACCTTAGTCTGAGTGGTGTGGATCAGAGAAGAGTGGGAGAAAAAAAAATCTTTTTTTTTTTCCCAGATTTTACTGGCAAAACAGTACAATAAGACCCAAGCAGGTATTCAGCTGAGGTTCAGCTAAAATACCACATTGCCATGGCATAGCAAGTCATCCTCTCATTGCCTGATGTGCTATGACAGCCTGCGTAGGCCCTGGTTACCCTCTGCAAATGCAAGGTTATTTGATTTAGCACAGTCTGCAATGAAAGAGGCTTAAGCTAACTTGCATAACCTTTTGCCAGAGGCTGGAAGTATTTACATATGCAGTTACCACAGCTCTTATGATGTACAGTGACTTACTATGCCATGGTAACTAGACTGCATGTCAGAGCTATTTGACACTCTAACACTTGCATCTGGGCATAGGTGTTTAAACAGAAACGGTTTGATTTTTTTCAGTCATTATGCAGCCCAATTCACACTGAAAACAGTGAGAAAATGGTTGTTTGGCAATTTCATTAACTGAATTATTCATTTAAGCAGCTATAGGTCCTGAAAATCTTTCTTTTGCATATAGATGAAGTCACCTTTGACTATTTTGAAGTCACCTTTGACTTCATCTATAGGTAGGAAAGAATTCCACAAAATGTTTTAAACAAGGCCTCTCCCAACATCCATTGAAAACAATCAGAGCCTTTTTATTGGCTTTAGTAAGCCTTGATTCATATCCAGGATGGATTTAGTTCTCCAAGATCTGAACAGCTAAAGAAATAACTGATTTCCAAGAATGGCAGTAACATTTATTTTGCAGCAGATGTATACCCTGGGCACATGACTACAATACTCCCTGGCCTGGCAATATAAAGATAAATAGGTGTGCAACCAGGCTGGAGAGAAGAAGGGTTCATTCAACACCAAGAGCCCACGTTGACTTGACTGCCAAAATTTTATTGCAAGGGTCCTTCAGAATTTCTTTGTTCGAACCAGTAGATTAATGTATAGGTCATAGAATCATAGAATCGTTATGCCTGGAAAAGACCTTCCAGTCCTTCAAGTAAAATCTTAAATGCTTCAACACCATACCTATTAAATCATGTCCCTAAGTGCCTCACCTACACGTTTCTTGATCACTGCCAGGGATGCTGACTCCCCCACTTTCCTGGGCAGCCTGTTCCAATGCTTCACGACTCTTTCCATTTAGAAATTCTTCTTAACATCTAACCTGAACCTCCACTGGTGCAACTTGAGGCCATTTCCTCTTGTTCCATCTGTAGTTATTCTGGAGAAGAGACTGACCGCCGTCTCACTACAACCTGCTTTTAGATAGCTGTAGAGTGATAAGGTCTCCCCTGGGCAGCCTGTTCCAGTGTTCTCATTCAGCCTGTCCAGATTCCTCTGTAGAGCCTTCCTGCCCTCAAGCAGATCTACTCCTCCGCCCAGCTTGGTGTCGTCTGCCCATTTACTGAGGGTGCACTTAATCCCCTCATCCAGATCATCAATAAAGATGTTAAAGAGGAACTGCCCCAACACTGACCCCTGGGGAACACCGCTCATGACCGGTCCATCCACCTTTCCCCAGGCTGCATCAGAACTACTCTACTGCATTCCCTTCTTTAATTATCTCTAGATCTTTCCTCATTACACAGATATTTGATATTCTATCACATTCTGTCCTTGTCATTGCATGATTTTTCCTTCAGAGGAACTGAAGAGACACTTCAGAGACCTTCCTAGTAGCAGCTGCAGTACCCTGTCAAGGGCAGTGGGGTCTCTCTTTTAAATTAGGAGTCCAAAAGGTGGAGAAGAAGGTAAAGCAAAGGCCTCTAGGCTTTCTCAGGAGTGGGCAAGCCAGCACTCGTAGGGTTGCCATCAAATCTTTGGGTCACATTTTCCATCTCTTACAGCAGACGTGGGACCTAGCTGTGGGCACATTTTGCCTACAGCTGCAATCCCATTGACTATACTTTCTGTAAGCAAATTAACCGCAAATGTTTTGTTTGTTTTTTTTGATTTTTAACAAAATTCGGTCCGGCATGGAGATTGTCCCTCTTAGTGCCTGGCTCAGACAGTCTCTCTCCCAAATGACATTTGCATCCTACTTTTTGTGACATTTTCTTTGCCTCTCACCAGGAGTAGGGGAGATGGAATAACAAAATGATTTCCTCTACCCAAACCTTATTCTCCATTTTTAGTACTTCTGGTGCCCTCAAAGAGCATGAGAGGAGGAGTGGATCCCTGTTTAGATTCATGCTCAAGTGGTTGATAAATTGCTGACAGTAACTCTGTGACAAGTCAGCCTGAGTAAAGATGAATTATGGGTGAAGAAATTAATATACAGTCAGAGACACAGATGCATAAAATGCAGTTTACCTCACATTTGCTTCTTTGGTTTGTAATTTGATTGATCACTTCAGTTATATGAGCCTGCAAATGTTGGCTCAGTCCCCTGCCAAGTGTTTGACCAAGACTTTAATACTAATGGCTGTTTTGTTCAACTCTATTGATTTTCAGGTACATCATTTATTCATTTAGGCTTTTGAATGAACATTTTCCCAGAATCAGTACCTTATTTGTACTGGCAAAGTGAGTACAATAAACATGGAGTTACTCGTCTTTATAAAGCAGCAAAATATTCTGTTTTTAATTGTCTTTAACAGAGTAAAAATCAACATATAAATGCTTTTTTTTAGTCAATAGTTTATTTTTTTCTGCTTCTGTATTGTTCTTCTAGTAAAGTCACGTCTTTCAAGGAGATGAGAGTTACTTTCAGAGAACTAGCAAACTATCTACATAATTGAGACATTATAAACCAAGTAAATGATACGTGAATTATATTGCATACTTCTCTCATCTCTGACAAATTAACACAAATTAATTTTTTGCCAACCTGCCTGGAGCCATTAGTGCTCTGTGATTATCGTAGGAGACCTGGCTCCAATTATGAATAAGAAATATTGCTCTGTTTGCAGAGAACGAAATGCTCTCAGCCAAGGGTGGTCGAACGGGTGCATTCCCTGGATGTGTTGCCCTAAGGCAAGCACGATGTGTGCCCGGTCTCCATCAAGAATGGACTCCTTCCTCATATGGGCACTGCATCTGCTTTTCTGGCATGCAGAGACGTCCAGAGAGCTTGGCCAGGTCATGGGACTAGCTCACTCCACCTCTTTGGTGGGGACACATGGGCTCTACACTCCATGGCCTCTTTGCAGTTGTCTTTGTAGCGAAAGAAGAGCAAATACATGTGCATTTGTAGGCTCATCTGCTGCATGTTTCTCAAGGTACATGATGTTCTTGCCCTTTAGTATGAGAGCTATGGCACTGTGCTTCAAGTTATCAGAGACCTTGTGGTTGCAGACTTTAGCTACATCTCCAGTAGCAAGATGTTGCTGGTGGCTCTAAACTGACAATATAGAGGCATCTCATATCAGCAAAGACAGATAGATGTATGCTAATGTCATTTATGCCCTTTATCTTACCAAAATAAGCTTCATTGGCAGAAGTACTTATACTCACCGCCTTTGTAAAAATAAAAATCACATCCCTCATGCACTGCACACTTTGGAGAAAGCCTGGCCTTGCAGTTTTGATATTGAGTGCTGTGGTTGGGACTTGCAGCTTTTCTGGATGACATGCTTTGGCCAAGCATTTTCCTTAAGCAAGAAATCAAATTGCAATGGAGTTAACAGAGGTTTCGTTGCTTGGGAATTGAGCATTAAAATTAAGGCATGGTTCCTGTTTTAACCTGGACCTTAGGAGCCCATTGCCTTGCTGATAGGTTACTGGCATTTTGCAAAGCATAGTTAAAGAGAACGCATGGAAACATCCAGGTTACACTGAGAGTGGTATGAAGTTAGTGTATAAAGAAGTGTCTGCAACTCCTCCAGTCTTCCAGAGTAACTGTGGATGTATGCCTCAACCACCCAGGCTGTCTGAGCAACCATTTTTTTAGCTCAAGATCTCTCAGTTCTCAGCTAGATTTCAGGCTCCTCAAGATAAAAGCCAATCATTAGATCTATTTGGAAGAAGCAAATAGTTTAGTTTTCATACAACTATTTTCTTTGGTTCCTCTCTATTTTTTTGATGAAAATGTGAACTGCTTAGTGGGAGATGAGTCAGAGCCAGACCTTGGGATGGAAGTGCTTGATGAGATCAGATCTTTAGCCAAATCAAGACCTTATGTCATGGCCCCAATTCCTTGTTTTGTGATCCCAGCCTATAAGGCAAGCAGCTAGGATGCAGGATGAGTCCTGGGAAGCAAAATTCTACCCCCCCACATCACCCTTCAAGCCTTTCTGTTTTGGAAATAGGTAAAATATGGTAAAACATGAGATTCAGCATTTACTGAAGTCAGAATTGAGCTCTGAAGAAATAGTTTATACAAGCTACATAAAAAAGGCACAGGCCTTCCACCAAATAAACCTGAAGGAAATGCTGGTTCATTATCTATGTGATTCTCTGCTTTAACGGACCCTGTCATTTGTAGCTGGGATGGCACTGGCAGAGACTAGCTCACAGCTGATACGTATTGTATCTTGCATGTGGCAAGATATTGTTTGGGGAGGAAGGAGGGTAGAAGGATGTGTGAGGGAAGTGTTACTCATGGATACGGGACCATCTCTTCTTTTGCCAAGACCAACAAGAAAAAGCAGGTCAGGATATTTCATCCAGAATATGGAGGATCCTCGTCCAGTAGACAGACTAGAATTGCCAGAAGTCAGGGAAATTTCCCTGGGAGCTAAGGCCTGAGCCAGCCGTGGAGTGTTTTAGATTTGGGCTTGCAGGAAACTCCCTATTTTGAGCCCAGAATATATCTCATTTGCTTTGTCTGTCCCATCACTAAACTTAGTAATGTCCCTCAGAGCTTCTGCCAGATAAAAGAGGTGAGTTGTAGGACAAAGCCCTTTTTGCTAGTGCTGTTTAACAAGCTGCATAGCATTTTGGTACCTCAGTATGCGTACGCTCAGTGAAAGGATAGTGGAAGAAGTTAAAAGAGAAACTACTCGTGTGCATTATACATATCCACTCTCCTGGGAAAGAGCTGGCTAACAAGGATGATTAATGAGAGGCAATTAAAGCTTGTTCATTTGTTTGTTCACAATGAGAAATGTAGCCTATTTTAAAAAGAAAATCATTGCTGATAATGCATGGGCTCTGCAGACAGCATTGAAACCAGCAAGCAGGTACAGCAGGCACATCCTGCCAAGAGCAGCCCAGTGTGGAGCAGCTGGGTGTCCCCAGCACCCAGGGACCAGGCAGCCACGAGCTCCAGGGTGGCCACAGGGTCAGGTTGGCTTTAAGGTAGTGGGAAAGAGCAGAGGTTACTCTCTAGCTGAGTTGCAACAAGAGAAGTTGTATGGGCCGTGTAGTTCTCAGTAATACCCTCAAAACCCTGACACTAACCATATATGAATACCCATTAAAACAGTGGGTTTCTTTTATCTCCCAGAGGGATATTTCAGATGACAGTCCTGGGGTCCCCTTCCTGAAGCAGCGTCTTCAGGAGCAGGAGAGGTAAAGAGGCCTTGTCCTTAGCATTTCAGGGAGACTGTTTTCTACTCACTGAGGCGATTCAGCCATTCCATTCTTATTTCGTGCCTGTGTGTGTGATATTGCCAGAGCTGGCTGAAACGGGCATTTCTCATGCATTGCTTCTGAAAGCAATTCTCTTGCACAGAAGGAAAGGATTGATGAATCTTACTCCACTGGATTTTTTTTTTTTTTTTTTTTGCATCTTGCTCCATTTTAAGCTATTTTCCTTCTCTGAGTCTCCAGTTATTTTATTACAGAAATGACAGCAGCTGATAACATACACACAACATAACTGTTGCAAATGCAAGATGGATGTTTGTTTTTGGGGGCAGAGTTTGCCCAGGGGGAAGAAACTAGGAAACATTATCTTGGCTCCTTACTGGCATCTTTCATCTCTTTGTGACATATCCAGATTTTTATAAAGGCTGTAGGCAGAGAGAGGCCCTATACTAAAAATTAAAAATACTTAAAATCTGTATTCTTTACTTGTTCTTAAATGCTTATTCTTATTCTTTGTGATCTCTTTATGTTGTTCACTGTTAATTTTTGACCCTTGAATTTCCCAGTTAATTAATTTGCTTTGATCACTGCCTAAATCAATTATAGTGACATGCTAAATTTTATCCCCAGAAAAAAAAAAAAGTTGATAATGGTTACTTGAAATGCAAATATATGCTGCTTTAATATTCCAAGCTGGCATGCTCACCATTCAATAAGGCGCTATCACTCAAGGGGTATTTTTTTTTTTCAAAATGCTTTAAATCTGCCATTTGGCAAAGCATACTTTTTCCCACATTGCGTTGCCGTAACTCCAGCCAGATAAATATAAACCTGCACTGAACTTTACCTCGGAGCCTTCAAACCTGGTGGATATAATGCTAGTTATTATGTTTTTATGTTGGGTTGTAGGAGGGACTGCTAGCGGGTTATAGGCAGAAAGAACAGTTTGTTCTGACCAACCATTTTGATTAGCAGCAAAGTGCTAACGGATTTGTGATATGCTGGTATGATTTTTCTTTCCTTCAGAAATATTTGCTGTGGTGATTGATTTTTAGCAGGCCCCATAGCCTACAGGACAGACGCAGTTATTTCTTCTGAAGAGGGCAAGTGGGCAATATTTTTAGCCTTCCCCATCCCAAATGTTGAAGGGATAGATGGAGGCCAGCACAGAGGTATGGCTGTTTTCAAAGGTGGCCTAACAAAAGCAGAGCAACATCTGGGATTTGCCAATACTGAGATGGATGAATATTGTTCAAAACTGAAAATGAAGCAGCAGCTGGTCTTCTGCTGGTGCTGATGTCTGAAAGCAAGCGTGTTTTCCTGCACACTGGATCTCCATATTTATGTGTCCTCCATGACTGGGAGGACTGCTTTTTCTTTCAGGACTTTTTTGGTTTTTTTTAGCATGAGGAAAATCTAGACGTGATATACACAACCAGAGAAGGGCCAAATCTTGTATTAAATAGGCCTGCAGGTGTAAATGTCATATGCAGGTGACACTTTGACCTCAGCCCTGACACCCAACACATGGCACAGTCATCTTCCCCCTGCCACAGGGCAGGCTGACAGCATCTCAGCTGACCCCAAAATGTGAGGTGCCCACTGAGTAATATTTCCCCTTTGCTGTTGGGGATCAAAGCATAAGAGGCAGGCTTTGAGGAATTATCAAGGTAGCACTGGTAGTTGACTTCTTTGTAATCAATGGTATTATGATAGCCAACTTCTCTTTAGATAAGGATGCCTTGTCAATGTATTTTCTAGCCCTCTTCAGAATGGTTCTCCCAGACTTCCTTTCTATTTAAGTATCTTTACCCTCATTTTGAAACAGTCCCAAAATGCTCCTTCAGCACAAGCTTATATTACTCAACAGAAAAACAGTTTTGTTGCAGTCAGCAAGAATTTGCCCTACAAGATGGGTATTTCCAGAATAATAAGTTAAATTTCCTACATCCTAGGCTTAACCCATTCCTAAGCAGGAGATTTGCCTTCTGAAATATATTTCCTCCTTTGAATCTTCCCACATGACAGCTGTTGAAATGCAGCTCAGGAAAGTATAAACTGTATTTGTTAGCAAACTAAATGTTTCCTCTGTATCCTACACCTATAAGCCTTTTCTGGACATATAACAGATAAGCTGTGCTTTGGTGGGAGTTGCTGGAGAAGTTTGCTATCTGCAAGTCATAGAGAGTAGTCAGGATATGAATCTCAGCTCTTAAACTGATCTGGACTTTCCCTTAGGAAATAAATGATGCCCTGGAGCAAAATAAATGATCTCTTGCAAGTGAGGTTTCATAAACAGTGATAGGATAATTGATTGTTATTCCAATAAAAGGTAACTGATGATGAGTTTGTGGATCCATATATCTTTCTTTTTTTCTTTTTTTTCAATGACTGATTAGAAAAGGTAAAAAAATAGGGAGAACAAAAATAACAGCATACCGTGAAGTTGATCTGTTTATTTGTTTGTTTTCTTTTGTCTTACGTTCCTAGGTGGGGCTAAGTACTGCAATAAGGAAAGCAAAAAGAATTATGAAGACTTCCAGGGACCTGGTAAGAAATCAGTGACAATGGGATGTCACTGTACAGTTTAAACTGTAATTGCATTTTATCAGAAATACCCACATTTTATCAGAAATGAGGAAGTTCGCTTTGCCTAACTGTAAATCCACCTGATTAACTCATAAAGTTGAACAATGACTCACTGCAGTATAGGATCTGGTGAGAGGGAGAGAATAAATATGGAATGTAAAAATACTTGTGATGACAAAAACACACAGCTTGTAGTACAGGGAAAACTGTTGAGGTCCATCCAAGATATAAACTTGTGTCTAAGTTTATATCAGCTGAAGATGTGGTCCATCGACTGTATAGTGCAGCTCCACACTGAAACATTTGCTTGTATTAGTTGTGCTCTCCTTTGGTGGGGCAACTAACCTTAATATGGTGTACAAGCACCAACAACTCCAGTTTTGGGGAAGAAAACTAATAATAGAAAAATGGCCAGGAGTGGTAAGAGTAAATGCTTTAGAGAGGAATGCTTTGGTGAGAGGCAGCAGTGCTCATGACCTTCTCAAACCTATCACATGTGTAAAATGGCAGCATTGAACCACTGACTTTACAGTATTTGAGGAACTCCATAGAAGGTTAAAAAAAAAAAAAAAGGAACAGTCCCTGCTCCAAAACTATCTGCAAATTGAGATTTTGTCAATAATAAAAGTCTGTTACTGACAAGTCAGGGAGACTTGTCCATAGTCAAGGAATTGGCTGAGGGGGCAGTGGGAAAGGTGATTCAAGCAGTGCATTTTGCTAAGTGTTTTGCCAGAGCTGGAGGCTTCTGAGTGAATGTTCATCTGCATGCAAGGGCCATGTTGTGTTTCAACCTAAATGCTCAGCTCAGGAAGCATCTGCCAGAGAGGAGGATAAGTTTGAGACCAAGATAACTAAATATTTAAGTGCCCAACTTCAGGAATCTGTAAGAGAGCTAGGTGTTCAACTTCCATTAATGGCAGCAAAGTGCTAGTCAGTGCAGGCTACTTGCTGCCCATAAACGCCACACTGAGTCTGCTCTGGAGAGAGCTCAGACCCTCTTGGGTCTCCAAAATATTTCCTTCCCGTTGGCCATCCTGCAAGCTTAGATCTCTAGCTCCAGGCTGGACCTGCCATATCCAAGCAGTGAAATTTGGGCTGCTTCTCCTGAAGTTGAATTCTTCTTTCTGTCATCTCGTTTCTCCCCTCCCCAACCATCTTGGTGTAGATTTGGCTGAGATGTTTTACAAAATCATGACTTTCTTGCGCAACCTTGCTGTGGATCAATATTCTTTCTCCAAACTTCTTGAAACGTCTAGGACAGCTGAACCTCTCCATCTCCTTGTTTTATGCCTCTCCCTTGTCCTTTTTCATCCCTGCCAGGCTCCCATAGCTGCATGAGAGGGAGCCCCTGGACCATGTCACTGCCTCCGAGCTTGGTGGCTACAATTTGGGGTAGTCTGAAATTCAAGCAATGGCCTAAATGTGAATTCTGCACATTTTCCCTTTATTTGTAAGGGGTTGTCTTTGCTTCTAAACTTGAAAACTGGGATTTGAAATCTTTCTGCCTCCCTCAGTTTTCAGATTTATAACTGATTTTAATCAGTAGCAGAGAGAGAAGGGCAGCTTTTATTCTGCTGGGTTCCCTTATATGAGTCAGCTCAGCCATTGAGTTTGCTTCCAGTTGTCTTCAGGCGCTTAATGCAGAGCAAATGTTTTTGCTATTTGTGAAGAAATTATTGATATTGCTTCTTCCTGAATTCTCACTGTGATGCTACTCACAAAACTGAAAATTGAGGTTCCTAATTAGCCTTTGGGCAATTGCCAAATTGGAACGTCAGGGAGATAAACAGTGCGTGAGGGAGATGGGGCTCAGCTCCTGCAGAACAGCGAAGCAGCGGGATCTTATTCATTTGCCTTCCTATTCAGCCCGGTGCTACTGATGGCTTGAGATTTCTGCTCAAATTACATTGAATTTCTACTCCCTTTCCCCTTCTCTGGGTGCAATGCCATGCCTTAATGCCTGCACTGAGTCACGTAAGGCCCCTCTGCTCAATGCAGCCCAGCTGCAGGTGCAAGGATGGGGAAAGAGCAGTATTATAGCCGGGCTCTCAGGAAGCAGAGCTGCTTACCCCCAGGGTGCCTGCCCATGAGCTACCTCGCACGTGTCCATCCAGTTTTGCAAGCTGAAACAAGCAGGGTGAATGCTCCTCTGCGCTGCTGCGCTGCACTTTGTACCTCATCCCTTGCATATAGACCCTGGCTGACTGAGGGGACTTGGCAAAAAAGTAATGGACTTGGATATAATTCGGGTTTTCGCAGTTGGTGTTCAGTCAGAGTATTTCTAAGCTTACATGACTTCATGCTACAAAGTCAAATCAAATTAAAGCAAATGTTGTATGCTTTGTGGGCCCATTATTCCTAGCATCTTCTTTTAGCTACTACTTTGGTGACCCTTACAGAAACATATTTTAAAGCTGTAAAATTAAAAATAATAGCATTTCTAGGGTCATAACAATCTCTTTCAACTTCCCCTTCACCCACGTTGCAGTTAATTTAATTCTAAATGCAGAAAAATAAATGAGGAGGAAACAAGTGTGAGGGAACTTCTCTAGGAGACAACATTGTCAGGTCTTTGCACGCTGCTATGTTAAGTAAGTCCCATTGTCAGGTCTTTGCACGCTGCTATGTTAAGTAAGTCCCATGCCCTAGGATGGCAACATGTGATGGAGTAGCAAGAAAACATGGATATTGAGTGTGTGGGTGAGGATTCAGACATGCCCCATGTGTGGTAGGAGGTCTCTGGATCCCGACTAGTGAAGAGCAAAAAGCATTTGCAGGGTCCCTTGTGAGCTGTGTGCTGCTGGTGGAACCTGATGTTGGTGAGAAATGGTGGATTATATCTGTTGGCTCTGCATATATTTGACATTTGTGGTGCTTTTGGCCCACGGCATGTTTGTGGAAAGGATACCTCAGCCTTCTCAAGCACTTCTTGCCAGTTAACTGTCCCTGTCTTTGCTCGTTGGCTGTGTGACTATGCATATAAAAAGAGACATCATTACAGCTGTCTCTAGCATAAACGTGAGGTCTGCCCAGCTCCCCAGGGACTGACATTTACCAGTCCTTTCTTAGGACCATCTTAGATGTGGAGGAAAAAAAGACAAGCATTTTCCAGATGTAGAGATATGATGCACATGGCTACAAACCCAAATTCCAATCCAACGTCTTTCATTCATTCATTAAAAGTAGCGAGCCATCTGTGAGCAATTGGTTTAAACCAAACACCAACAGGCGTTAAGGACTCATTACTTTTTCTTTTTTTGGAAAACTAATTAAAATAATTACTGAAACATCATTATGGAATGCTAATAGGCAATGGATAAAGTATATGTGTTATCAATCACCGTGAACACCTCTAGCATTAACTTTCCTCATGGGCAGGGAAGACATAGAAAAGGCATCTTTCCGCAATAGCAGTGAAAAAACAACTTTGTGCAGAATGGGGTCGTGGTTTTAGTGCTTAATGAGAACAACCATCTCACATACAATTCTGCTGTGATCGGACATATAATTCTGTTGTGATCAGATGGTGCCTGCAAATCACTGCCCTGTTTTGGGGAGACTGGGAAGCCACACGGGGAGCCAGAAGAAACTTGCATGTAGCGGCAGGGAGGCTTCTCGGTCCTTTGTGTGCTAGAGTTGGTCCCCGATTCTTTTTCCTTCTTTTACACGTGGGCATAGACGGCTTATCCCCTGTGCTCCTTGATGCCTGTTAGGGGTACCCAGAGGTACCCTGAAAGAGCAACTAATGCTCACATGCCCCCTGCAAGGAGCACAGTTGCACTTTGGCAGGGTGCTGGGCTGCAGCTGTAGCTGCCCCTCAGCACCCAGCCCTCAGGGCCCCTTTCTGCCCAAACCACCATGGCTGAAGTCTGCTGGGTCCAGGGGCTGTTCTCCCTTTGATGCTAAGGCCACTCTGGTCTGCAGCTATTTTCAAATGACAAGACGAGAAAAAAGCAGAAAAGGTTTTATCCTACTTACAGCAAAGGGTAGCCTTTAAATGCTGCCCGCAAGCAGGAGGGGGAAAAAAAAAAAAGGAGGAGTATTTATTTATTTATTTGTGGGAAGCCCTGCAGTTTGTCTTTCTGGCACAGTTTCGGCTCTGGATGCTTTATCTTCAAAGGCTTTGCACGCTGTGACTTAGGCTGAAGTGAAAAGCCAGCAGCTCAGGAGAAGATGCCACAAATCTTAGCATGATGGAAAGCTTTAAGGGCCTCTGCTGCTTCTGCAGGCAGTGCTAGGATTACTCTTATATGTGGGAGGTGGGGGAAGTGGCTTTTTTCTTTTCAGGAAGGCAAGCATATTCTGCGAAGGTCTTTCAGAAAAGCCACTTTCTACCTCACTCTCTCTGTCTACCTGTACAAATGCACCTCCCTACATCCCAAAACTGTATGCAGTGATTAAGCAGAAAGTGCTGAGGTCATTGCCCTTCATGCCAGGAATAGCAAGTACTCTGCTATCCTCCCCTGAGCTGGGCCCAGCCTTTATCATCTGTTTTTTATTAGATTTGGGTTGTAATCTCATTAGGGCAAGGGCTGCCTATTTTTTTCTCTATGAATATAAAGTGTGAAACACAAGGGAGCTGGTCCAAGAATAGAGCTCCTAGGTGCTATAGCAATATAATTAATTACCCTCCTTTGCATAAGTGAATGAGAATGTCCATCTGCTCAACTGTTCCATATTTACGCACTCAATACGACCTGAGTGAATACAGATAATTAGTTTGTGCGCTGACTATCTCCCATATTTGTAGACCTCCTGAATGCCCTCAGTGTTTGCAAACCACCTGACCTTACAGCGAAGGCACATTAGCAGCACATGCATGGAGCTGATCCCCGAGGTGGGGCAATGTTTCTGTAATCTGAGCATGTGTTAGGAAGGTCTGCTTTATTTTCTGGAGCTTTCTGGTTACCTGGGACCTCCTCACGTAGTTTGGCCTTGGGCGGATGTCTATTAAGCTGAAAGAGTTTGTCCTGCAGCAGCTGTCTTTTACAGCCTATAGGTCTGGTAGACATAAAAGCCAGTTATGAGATTTCTATGTTAAAAAATAATTAAAAATCAAGATGCGTTATGCACATGCTGGATCTTCCCATTTATCCTCTCTTTGGGGTTGTTCCTGACCTCCGGCTTATCAGCCCTCCTGCCCTGAGCATGCAGAAAGCAGCCTTATGGTCCACAACATATGTTGTGATCCGTGGTTCTCAGCTAAGTGTCAGATTTCGTGCTGTTTATTGAACATGAGAATTGCAGTTTTTTAAAAGAATGGAAAAAATAACTTTGGTGCATGATGGGAGACAGTTTCATAAGAACTTCATTCCTTTTTGATTTTATAGCTCTTTGAAAGTAAGAGTCACTGGTTTGTAACATGTTAAGCTGAAATCTTTAAGTTGACTGCTGTGTCAAGTTTAAATCCTCTGGCATGTAACATCCTTAATGGAGTCATTGCTGTTTTCAGATGTTATTAGGCAGCAAGTATATGACTTGGCTGTGCACTCCACTGACACTCGTTATCCCAAGCCTTGCAATCTCTATGAACTAATGCACTTGTCTGCTTTTTTTTTTTCTTTCTTTCTAGAAAAGCATCACGGGGTTCTCAAATTTATGTGCTTTTCCCGTTCTGGATAAGCTGTGCGAGAAGATTAAATAGTGCGTATAAAATTTTCAGCCCTTAATCACAAACAGAAATATGATGCATTTGATTCTTTCAAATGAGAGGCAGAAATCATCCTCAGATTGAAAGAAGAAAGTTTCCTGTAGTTTTCTCACATTTCTTTCCTAAAAACACTGAGCAGTACAGAATGAGGCTGCACAGAGTTCAGGCAAGAGACTCATACATAGGAGGGATCCCTGTTCTTTTTCAGTTTTGAAAAAAATTGCATAATTTTAGCGGGTCCCAGGGACAAATATACTCTGCTGCAGGAAGAGTCCTTGATCCGTACACACAGAGACGTGAAGCCTCCAAGATGGGAATGATTTTCCTCTCGATATTTCCCAAGCCCAAGAGATTCCTGCATTTTGTGTATTCACCCAGTTGTGGTGCCCACGGCTCAACACAGAGAGCTGTATTCTCCTGAGTTTACAGTAAATAGCAGCAACATAACTTTGTAAAGAATATGACATGTGGGACAGTTTCAAAGTGTAAGGAAAACGTCAAGGTATTGAAGAAAATTGGGGGTGGACACGAAAAGCAATTTGTGTAGGTACTGACTTTAAGTCAGTCTGTGTGAAGGACTGAGGATGTCACCTGGGCTATTGGTCTTGAAGAGTGTTTGTCAGTGTAGGGCCTAAATGGGTTGGAGGAAGAGTTAGGCACAGCTAAGAAAACAGCAGTATTTGGGGGCTAGTTGGACTCCCCAGACCAGATTGCACATCTACTCCTGCTCATTACCATGAAACTGCAAATACCAAGAGTTTCCTGGGAATGGGTTGCTTGGCATGAAACATGTCCTGAGCATGTTTAAATTGGGAGTCAGGGCAGTCATAGACACCCTGAGAAAGGAGAATGAGTTTGAGCCCTATGAGTGCACTTAGGAGAAGCGGGAATCACACTGTAAATTATGTGTTGCATCAAATACATTCAGTTCTTCCTTTCTTTTCTTGCTCTCACTTTGTTTTGGGGTTTTTTTTCCTTCCCTTCTTCCTGTAACTACAGAAACATGCCTGGAAGTTGGACTTTTTTAGCTAGTTCTGGATGTGTGCCAGTTCCTTGCAACTTAGCCTCGCTGCAGAGATGAAGTAGCCCGAAGCAGCATGTGGGAGCTACTGAGGAGAATAAGGGTTATGTGCACCAACGGGTGGGCATATTGCCTGTCTCCTCTGCATTTCTCCTTTTCCTGATGCAAAGCAGCCTGAGGAACCCACTCTTATTGCACCCATATTTTTTCTCATTCAGGTTAAACATCTCTTATGAGTCCAAGAGACTCAAAAATCCTTGGAAAGGAAGCTTTCCAAGGGAAGCATCAGTGGGATGGCAAAGAGTGAGGGTGGGTTGAGCTGAGTCCTGTAGCTTGTGCAAGACAGTGTGAAAGCTGGTGCACGTCCCAGCTGAAAAAGAAGGGGCAAAGAGCCAGCACGGTCATTTTAATGCCTGCTTCAGGCACTGCTAGCATCCCTGTGGTTGCTGGAACCAAAAGTCACATTGGAAAACAAAGAAAGAGATGCAATTCTCATAGAGCGGAGATAATTAAGCACCGAGGGCTCAATTCTCCTCAGCTCAAGGTGAAATACTTCTCATGAACATGTTTGAGATTGGTCATGTGTCTGCAGGATTAAATACAAGAAGATCTGGATTCTCAGTTAATGTATGAGGCCAGCTGTTTATTCTGTGCACACAGCCCCTCTTCAGGTTGAAGAACCTTTGCCATGGAAAATATGCATTCGTTTGTGTAACTGCATCCTGCTATGCAAAGTGCAAGTTTTCTCTGCCCAACTTAACTGGAGAGAGAAAGTTCAAGGGGTGCATATGAGAACGATTTGCCATTTGCTTGTAGAAGAAAAAGGCTCATCCACATCAGCAAAAGAACGCATCCTGCAGCTCCTTCTCTAGTAGAAGGACTTCTGGTAACATTTCACATCCTACAGATCAGCAACATCTGCCAAGCTGAAAATACTTAGTGTTTATTGCCCAAAATTATAGCTTTACTACAGATTTCACGTGATAGTTTGTTTTAGAGATCAAGGGTTACATTTTATGGTTGTACCTGTTTCCCTCAACTTTGCCTCCAGAAATTGGGAGATACTGAAGAAATCAGAATTTGTTCCTCTGGGCAGAATCCATTTGCTGAGGTACAGGCACAGAGTTAAAACTGTATATGGAGCTATGAATAACATACCAGCTATTATCTATTCTGAATTTCTTACTGCAGCTTTTTTTATTTATTTCTGAATAAGTTCCCTTCCATATGTTAACACTGGGTTTGCTGTTTTTGTTTTTGCAGTGTCATAAGGAATAAATTGCCTTTTGAAGATTTTGACGGAGATAAATTTAGTACCTTCCCAGTAAGCAAAGCTTTTCCTTTGGTACAGTAATCCCTCGATAATGAGAATGTCTTTAGGATTCCTCCTACTTTCTGCAAAGTCTTACTCATTCATACAAAAATTGGTATAGGAGTGAAGTGAAAGGAGATTTTTTGTTACTAAAGATCTTCTTTTTTCTTTATGAAAAAAACAATCATTCATTTATGCTACTTGGGGAGATGCATGCATAAAGCTGCACTCCCTGCAGAAGAAAATTGCTCTGCTGCTGAGTGGTCTGTTTACTGAATTAATAAGAGGTGAAGTAAAGTCGTGTAAAAAAATTAAATTGCTAGCTTGTTTTATTTCTGCTCCAAAATGTGCATAGTGTCATTTATTAAAGCTTAGCAAAGGGGCTCTGGAATAAAACCCATTTACTGGGCTTTATTCCTGCACCATGAACTAGATTCTCATTTTAGATATTTTAAATTAAAAGCCCAAGAGTAACAATGAACATCCTATTTGTGTGCTTCTCCTGGCTTTTAGACTTTGAGGGGCTATCACTGGCGAGGCAGAGACTGCAATGACAAAAACGCCACTGTGTACCCTGGCAGGCGGTAATGCTCTTAATTATACTAAATATATTTTACTAACTGCAGCTTCTTAATGGACAAGCTTCATGTTGGCTTTGGGGTGTGCATGAAACAAGTTTTTTGGGGTTTTCTGCAGCCTGGGGCTTCTGGCCAAAGACTTGGTAGTAGCTGGGGAGCAGTAGTGTGTTCCAGGGGTGGCTGCTGCGCTGTTGTCTTCATTGAATATGTTGCAAGTTAAATGCCCTGTTGTGTAAACGTGGAGCCCGTAGGTCTTCTCTAGCACCCACCTAAAGATGGGAAAATCTTGATATGGGTGTAGTCCAGCCCCCCAAAAAGAGCCCTCTGAAGCTTTGTGCACCCCATGCAGGTAAGCAGCGCCGGGGTAGCCTGCCCATGGGTGGTGGGTCCATGTCCTCAGGCTACATTGGCGATGGGTAGAGCTACGATGCATTCCCGGTACAGGAGCGTAACTCCCAGTTAGCCCAGTGGGACGTCCACACGTGTTCTGAAATGGAGAACGCAGCCAGGGGCAACTCTGTGAAACGAGCTCCTCGGCGCTCACTGTTTTATCGTGAGCAAAACGAGCTCAGGCTCTTCCTGAGAAATAGAGCCCTCCTCTTCCAAGGGTTTGTAAAGCAGTTATTGATGGGAACCATTTGTTAAACCTTGGCGTTAATCGAATTGCCATCAGCGAAGGTGGGTGCAAGGGGAAGAGCTGCGCTGTGTTTGGCCCAGGAAGGGCAGTTTTATTGGTAGAAATGATCTTACAAAGCCACATAGTGCAAAGCTGAAGAGATAAAACATCTCCACAGAAGAGGCCCAAGCTAATTATACTGTGCTATGGGCCACATGAAATCCTCCTTCCAGCCTGAGGACACGAATTTCCATGAAATTTTAAAGACTGGGGGAAGGGAGAAAGGGTCTGTGTTTTGTGGAAGTCATTCCCGTTCACATCAGTTAAGAGCCCATGTGAGTCAAAAGGGTGTTATCCAGCACCCTCTAGTATTGCACTTTAAATTAATACTCCATTTTGGAACAAAAAATTACATCTCCTCAATCCACAGAAAGAAAAAGCTCTTCATGCAGAAGGGAATTTCTAATTATTTTTTATTCTTAGAGAAACAGTACAAAGAATTTCATTGCCTTAAAAGCCCCTTTGCTTTATTTTCTATAACTCTAAATATCTTTTTGTAATTCTATTTTAGTCCTGATAATTGGGATGTGAACAGTGATTCTAACTGTAATGGCATATGGGTGAGTAAATGAAGTTGCATCTTCAAATTCCTTCCTGACTGCTTGCTCTCTTTTTAACTCCTTTAGGATTAGTCTGCAAGTGTTTTTTATTCTTGTTTATTCACTGATTTGCATTGCTCACATTTATTTAGTGCCTTTGATATTCCAAGTAATAAAATCATATTTATTTAAAAGTAAGGAAAAATGGGGGAAACGGCAATGAGGGAAGTTTGTTTATTGATGTTCTGATTATTTAAATTATAACCATTAAAATTAATTGAAATGTACAAATGCTTATTAAAACAATATAATGGATAGCATCATTACTATGATGCAGTGCTTCTTCCTACAGCAAAAATTCAAGAAGAACAAAACGCTTGGGATCCATATTACACAATAATTTTTCAGGCAGTAGATAGATACTATCAGCTGTGTCTTTTCTCCTCTAACAGGGGGTGGATCCAAAAGATGGAATTCCCTATGAGGAGAAATTCTGCAAAGGTAAATCTTTAATATAAGCAACAATATGTATTTTGTGTTCATTTCATATTTTAATATTTTCATGGCCGTTGCCAATGTAGAGAAAAGATAACAGACTTCATTAAAAAGGCAAAATAGCAGGTTTTTTTTAATCTTGAGAATGAGAAAAGAGGAAACCTGAAAAGCACAGGCTACTGCTAATTTCCTGTTAAAAGACGATTCGGTTGCCAGGTCAAAACATATAGACCAGGGACGGCAGCAAACAGAGACATCAGCTTGAAGCCTACCCCACAGGGCATGCCTCTTGTTTCAGGGCAGCAGTTTAATCCCCACGTGTGCCCAGTATGAGCCATTGCTGTAAATACCAGCAACGTGATGCTGATGCTTTTTCTGATAAGGCTTTATAGAGGTGAACTAATACTATCAACTGATACCCCTGGCAGCAGCGTGCCTATGTACGTGTGTGTATGCATGAACAGACATTTGCACACATCAAACAATGCTATTAAACAGCCATAGCTATCAATGGCTTCTCACCCTGCCTTTTATTTCAACCACCACCCTGGAGATGAATCATTGCCTGGCAAGCCTCTTGGATAGTTGAGAGGCAACCTACAACTGCTAAGTAACATTAATTACCAGAAAACCAGATTGCTCCAGTGAAAATACATGTGTAAGCAGAGCGTCCACCACCTAGTTCAAGTTTGAAGAGCTTTTAGCAGTTTCCTGGGTAATACTATTTCCCTAAACATTTGATTTTAAGTATTTTTAATGAATATCCTATAGGTAGTAAAAACAAATGTTAGCTGCACAGCAGAACCTGGGCTAAAATCACAGTTCTGTCCTTGAATAAAACTGGGGGGGGGGGATTTTTCCGATTAGCAAGAAATTCTCTCCCTCTTATTCTTGATACATACCCGGTCATTTCTGCATGGCTGCTGGCACATGCCTCTCTGTAGGTTTTTACTGCAGCAGGAGCCAAAATCCCACAGTCCAGGGCAGAAGCTGCAGAGATCTCAGCCACCTGAACAGCGAACATTTGCACTGCCACCCCGTGAACTGCCAGCGCTGCTGCTCTTGTGCTCTGTCAGACATACATCTGTTTTTTATAAGTGCACAGCCTGCCTGATTTGGACTGTTTTATATGACTAAAAATACGTATGATGTAGGTGCGGACTCCCGAGGGGTCGTTCTGCTGGGGGACTCGGCTGGAGCCCATTTCCACATCCCTCCCGAGTGGATGACGGTCACGCAGATGTCAGTGGTGAGAAATCGCGCTTGGGCTATCAAAACCGTCCTGCTGACAGCTGCTCTTTGCTTTTTCCCGGGGGCTGCTGGTTGCCAAAGGGCAGCAAGGGCAAAACACCCAATGCACTGGGATTTGTAGGCCTGTCTCGCCTGCTTGGGGGAGCCGCTGCTCTCCCACAGCTGCTCTCCTGCGGGCAACGCATACAAAGCCTCTGAAATTGTGTCAGCAAAGGATTTGGCTCCCCCACTCTGGCACTACCCCAGAGACAGAAACCAGGACATCTGGCTTTAAAAACACAGCCCATGAATCAAGCAGACCTGTGTTGTCTGGGGGATCTGTCCTGCCACCGACAAGCCCCTCTGTTAGCTCGCTGAAACAGCTCCGGCTGCGGAAAAGTCTTGCAGAGTCAGCACTCCAGGGACTTCTGTTTTTGGCATGTACTTTTGAAATGACACGTCCCGGATTGCTTTCCCTCATCTGTGACATGTATGAAATAGAACTAATAACTCAAGTATTCAGGCACTGAGGCTTACAGCACGGATGCGTCTGCAAGAGTTGGAAGGTCACCCGGGGACTTACAGTGGAATTGCCCTGAAGGGAAACGTTTCTGTAGTGGCCGCAGAATACAACACAGCGGTGTCTGCCTCAGATAGTGTCACTGCATTTCCCCCTTTCATAGGACAAAAAAAATTGCACCTGCCAGAATTACATTGCGATTACAGCTGTTGCAATTGACTGGTGTGGAATAAAATAATTGAGGGGAAAAGATCACTCTAACAAACTACAACTGGGTGGCAGATATGATTATGCTCCTGTTCTGCAGCGTCTTTTCTCCCCCAAGAGCCACTTCTTGTGGGGCTGGTGTTGCAGCCTCTCTGGGGAGGAATGTAGGTTGTCCTTCTCTTCACGAGGGCTCTCTGAGGGCAAGCAGATGGGGGCATGCCCAGAAGTAACTTGGGTTATTGCTCATCTTCCTTGATGGAAAGATGCTCCCCTTTCATTGGCCTCTGTGGAAGAGGAATATGAAGAGTTCTTGGAGAATAATTTCACAATTCTAGTATAGTGATATCTGAGATACTAGGGTTTTGATCAGAATTGTATGTGTTTTCCTACTTTTGCTTCCAGAGCTGATCTGATTTAGATATTGCAGATTAGTGGTTGTTTTTCTTTGTTAAATGTTCATGAGCAATGATTAGACAAATGACACCAATGACAGGGCTGATGATAAGCGTAATAAATTAGCGCTAATGATAATTGAGATTATCTTGTCTAATAAAATGGTAATAATACTGATGGTGGTGACAATTCTGGAAGTGACACTGCTAGCAGAGTCATGTATGCAAGTATAGCCCCAGACTGGGTCAGCATTTTATTGTCACCAACATGAAGGTTTGGAAGGTATTTCTCTTGCTTGGAACATGAGTCTGCTAGCTGGGTGCCCCAAGGGCTGGTCACAGCATACAGAAGCAGAGGCTCCAACGTCAGGAGATGGAGGACAAGTTAGACAGTGATTTTTGATTGGGATTTATTACTGTCTGATGGGTGAGAGCCAACTTGCGTGGGAAGGGAACTGGTACTTTCTGCATAAAGCCTAACCAGTCTGTGCTCCTGGTGCTGATCTCCGCCTGGCTGGCTTGTAAGGAAGATCAGGGACTGATTGGAAAGGAAGAAAAAGGGACCCTTTCCTCCATATAAAGGATGATTCCAGCACTTCATCAGGAGAATGAGGGCAAAGAGAAACATTTTCACCATCTGGCCTTTCATACACACTCACAGAATATAATACAAAGGCAGTTAAGGCATCACTGGAGATGGAGAAGCTAAATAAATGGTCTAAGTTAATGAAGAAGGAGCCTGGACCTCGCAAGGAGACACAGGGCCACCAGCCATCCTCACATGCTGCCAGTGGAAGGGTGCAAGCACGTCGGCACTGGCTCTCCTGCCAGAGGGTCCAGGCAGTGGGGCAGCATTTTGCAGCTAGAAATCAAGTCAGATAGCAGGACACATGCAGAAGGGGTGGCTCCATCCGTGAACCTTTGCAACGAGACCTGCTTTGCAGGAAAGCGTTGGCTGGCCTAGCCCTGATCCTTGGCAGCCGTGTCTCCTCCAAGAGGTCATCGTTGCTCAGAGGGCGAGGAGTGAGGCTCATGCCCTGGGCTCTGACCCTTGCCACCAAGGCTGCTGTCCTGACTCTGCATGTTTGCATCTTACCATTCACCCAACCCATTTCTGGGTGGTCTCATGAAATAGTTACACACGCGTGGTCTCCTACCAGACTGATCTCCTCAAGGCCTGGCTTGCTGGCTTGTGTTCACAAGACCAGGATCCTTTTGCTTGTACTTGGACTGTTATTTGTACCAGTGCAAAGCTCATATTCAATCCCAGCCTTCTGGTCTGGCAGCCTTTTGGGATCTATTGATACTGTATAATGTAGAGGAGGTTGGAATAATCAGCTTTAGCTACCCAGCACAGAGCTTGGCTTGGCTTCTTGAAAGACTTCCATGAAATGCAGCATTCCTGTGGCTAGTGTGTAGCTCTTCTGTAGCGCCTGCACCATCAGCTGGGTGTCTCCGGGATGAGAATAAGAAAGAACAGATACTTGTTTAGTATTATTTGCAAATTTTTCTCCCGGCCTGGAAAAAACATCTGCAGTTAAGTGTTAATGCAGATATACAGAGAAAGCCCAGATTTATGACTAAGTATCTGAGTTTAAACTCCAGCAATTGTAAAATGTTATTTAATCTGTATCTCACCCTAAGTAAGAAAGGTATCTGGGCACAAAAATGGCAGTAAAAAATGTGTGAGTGAATTCAGGCTTTGACACTGGCTGTTTCTCCTGCTTTTTCTCAATTTCTTGGTCTTTCTGGGTGCAAAATGGCAATGGCAGCAACTTACCCGTGAAGGTGCCTTACCATATTCTCACTCTGCACAGTGTTAAATATAGCTGGTCAATATCCTTCATGTGTTGTTCATGTATTAACAAATTGGAAAAAAATCTGCTGTTTTTAAGCTTTTAAAAATTATTTCTTGATATTTCTGTAAAGAAACCAAAGAACAAGACTGAGGAAGCTGTTCCATGTTACTCAAATAATCAGCAAGACATTTCTACATTGGAAACGAGCCTTGTTTTCTCCTTTCCTCCCTCCCTTCCTCCCACCCTTTTTCTCTCTCCCTCTCCCTTATTCTGTCTTCCCACTGCACAAATGATGGGTTAAAACTGCAGGTCATGCTTTTCAATTCCTATAAAAACAAAGAGCTAGTAGCACGATCTCAGGCTGATCGCAGCGCACTGGAAGCCTGCACGCCTTTCTCCCACAGGATATTGTCAGCCGGCATTAATCTTCCTTCAGCACTTGGCTTTCCTCGAGGAGAATTTCTAATCATATACCGGGTTCGTTTTGTGGCCATGGAGAGTGGAGGGAGCCTAGTCCTAATCTCACAGAAAGCATCCTTAATTTGGGACTGCAGCAAGAATTCAAAGTTAGGGCTCTGAGCAGGGAGGATAAAGCATCAGCCTGCTGTTCCTGCTGCTCCCTGGTGCTATCAGGCTCCTGTGAACCTAACGTCACTTCACTTTGATCTTTCCAAAAATTCTTTGATAAGACACGTAGAAAAATTAGTTTATCAAATGGCTTTCTCTACAGTCAATTCAAGAGTTAGTTCAAAGCTTTAATTTCCATTTCAATGGACTCTCAGTCCCCTACATGGAATTCCAAATACGACTTTTCCCACCCCCAAAATTTTATCAGGTTATAAAGAAGAAGTTGTGTGACTCTTAATTCATATTTATTAACTGCAGGATTTTATAACTTTTATTACTTCCATATTTCTCATTCATTTTATATATTCTATTTCTTTCTTTTTTATTTGTATTTGCTCTCATAAACATTTACTAAAAGAAAATTTTCACTCGGTAGAAATTCTGTGGGCCCTCTTGTTAATCCACACCATATTGGTAGCAGCTGCTAATTCGTATTTTAGAGCTAATTAGGTGGGGAAATATTTTTTAAGGATAGATGCTGAGACTTTAGTTAAGAGCCCCTGCAGAATGGTTGCTTTGCTTGGTTACACTGTATATAGCCTGCCACACACAGGAGCAATAGCGATGAATGAGGGAATAAAGAGAAAATTAATGACAAATTTCCTCACTGAAGTAGTCTCAGGATGTCATTTGGGTAACTCGATGATCAGCACTATCATGACCAGATGGTCTAGTTTGGGCAGAACAGATTTGGAATTAAAAGATCCTTGCTCCGTCTTATGAAAAACTGTTGTTAGGAAGCTGTTTTAAATTGGATTTTGGATGTCCTTGTCTGCTTTGCCCAGCTGGGAAATCATTGCCTGCTGAGCACTGGCCTAGCACAAGCTCTTACCTCTGTGTAATTCTGTGCAAGGGGACATACTAACATCAGATGTCCCATGTCCAAGTATGTGACAGGGAGTCCCTTAGTGCCTTCAAAGTCTTTCTTTTCCTTCGTAAAGATGGGAGCCCCTTTCACCAGGTATTCCCTGACATGTGCAACACGAGACCACTATTTCAAAAAAAAAAAAAAAAAGTAGCTGGAACTTGGTCACAAATACCATAACCATCTCACTGAGTGGTCTTTCTTCCCATTGAAAGCACGCAGGATGGCCACGAGCCATCCCGCTCCATCACAAGTCCATCACAAGGTGGGCACATCTTGGAAATCTACAGCTGAGATAAACATGCTTATAAAGGAAAGTAAATACAGGAACTTGCAAGTACTTAACTTTCCCACAGTTCTGCCTTGAGCAGCCTAATACTGCTACAGCCCAAAGCCTGCCCTACAGGTATTTGGCTGAGGTGCAGCAAAACCAACAAAATATTGTGGGGCCCGTGACTGAAGGTATCTACACTCATTTTCCTGCACAGGCAGCTCCAGTGAGTGAGGTTGTCCTTAACTTGTCATAGCGCTATTAAATCCTCAAACACCCAGAACACATTTACAGGAAGGGGATTATACGATTGTAGGAAGGGAATGAGTCACCCTTATTTTGGCTTCTTTCCTGCCAACAGGTTTTGGTTTCATCGGGCTTTTCTGCTATTAAAAAGTTTAGCAGAACTGAGCTGAATGTTCATTCCTTTGACATGAAAACTTTGACATTAAAAACACAGTTTGATGCAGTAGACTTATATTTAATGGGATTTAGGAAAGAAGAAGTGTTATCTTTTTTGAGGTGGACAGTTTTTGAGGAAAGCTAATGCTGAAAACACTGGTGTGTCTAGCAGTTGATATTGCTCTCCTGCTGCTCTGTCCATCTGCTTACAATTGACTTCCAAAGTGCTACTAAATGGTGCATTTTTCTGTTATGTGTCTGGAATAGGACCTTACTTATAAATCTCATTTTAAAGACCATTTTATTTGAAGATAAAAGCACTGTATCTATAAATGTGTTGCTAATACTTCACATGCATTTTAGGAAAATGCATGTAAAACTCTTGGTTCTTCATTTTATGATGAATAAAGTGAAAAAATAAATCCTAAATCTGTCTGTAGTCCAGTAAATATCTATTTGCCCATGAGCTCAAATGTTTCTTAGCTTTCATTTAAACAACTGGTTCATGCTATGTATTTCATATGCAGAAAAGTTCATCATTTCTTTAAATGTAAATTCAAGATGAAAACATGTCCTGAACAGTTATCCCACTTGCTTCCTTTTGCGCAACTATAGTTGACAGGAATTTCATCAGCAAAAATCTTACTAAAAACCTTTTCTTTAGACTTTCAGTCTAAATCCAGTAAGATGCAGGCATGTTTCTAGCAATTAATATTGTGGTAACTAAGACACTGCAGTTTTGAAAGTAAGGCTGCTATTTTCCTAATTTCCAAAAGTATGCCTTTGCAACTTTACAGAATACAAACGCTGTACCTGCTTTTTAAAAACATAGGATGTTTCTTATTCAAGAGACGGATGGTGTGCTTTTATGTATACTTAGAAAGAGGATGTTGTTGGAGGTATCTAATGGTATGCAGAGGATCTGAACACCATTAGAATCACTGTGAAAATAAATAGCCCATTTCCCTTCAAATTAAGGGATACTTCAATGCTTACAAAAATTTCTATTCCTGCCTCTTCTAAAGATTCAGATAGGTGTTAATTTTCTAATGATCTTTTGTGTCCTGATTTTGAAAAAAATTTTGCCCTAGCAAGCTGGAGCACTCTTCCATTTAGGTTAACTTTGCTCAGCATGGCTTGATAGGTGCCTTCATGGTCGTGGCCATGGTTTTGATTGCCCCGCACATCAGGATTGCGAGGATGCACAGAGACCTGTTTCCAGGTAGGATATGTCTAAGATGTGAGAAAGTCTCTTCAAAACAAGACTCATCTAGGGCATCTGGGGATAAAACATGGCATTTTAAATTAGGCTGGAATAACTTCCTAATCAGTCTCTGTTTAAATCTGGCACATGGGCTAACGCACGGTTTCTCAGTTGGAAGAGAGAATGGTATTTAGACAAGACTGTGCTAAAAGAACGGTTTTAAACTAAAAGTCTGCAGGATCCACCTCTAAAGTGGGACACAGTCGCACCTGAGACCAACCAAAATGCAGGTGGCTGCTTACCCCATGTTTTCTAACTAACTGATGTTTCTGCAGAGTACAAGACCTGGATTTTCTCCAGAAATTTCTCCTAGCCACTTACCTTCACCTTTTCATCTTAAAATATCTTTAGAAGTCTGGCTTTAAGTGCATTGCCAGAGAAGGTTCAACACTAACTTAAATGCAGTATTCAAATGCACCAATAATTCTGACCTAAAACTTTCCTTTGCAAAGCAATTTTCAGCTCAGCTAGGTTCTGTTAAATCATATCTAAGCTAAGTCTGCAGGAAAAAAAAATATTATGATGAGGCCTGTCCAATGAAATCATTATTTTGGAGTGCTAATAGGAGCTTAGAAGGCAATTGGTCAGAGGAGGGCCTGTTTTAAAAAATATTTAATCATCTCTGGTCTCTGTGCATATATGCTTTGGCTGATAAGAGGCCACATCTATTGGTAGTTCTTTGCTGAGTAATTGCTTTAAATGTTTCTGATGCCTTTAATGCAAAGCCACAAAGAGGCCAATGCTCCAAATGGCCAAGCCATATTGTGCAGTTTAACCCCTCCATTTCTGCTCAAATCAGTGCCCTTCTACTAAGTGCCTGCTTGCACACAATGCTATGAAGAAGATGGGTTTTAAAGTTCCCTTGAGTCTTAAATAAATAAATATATACGTATATATCCATACACAAGCACACAGGCATACACATATATGTGAGAGAAGGAAACAGCTGTAATTGAGACAGAACCATTCTCACCTTGATGACTAGAGCAGGTCTATCCTAAGTAGGTCAGATACGCCATTAACTTGGTCTAAACTGGTGTTGACCATGAATTACGCTGCTCAGAGCTCGGCCTCGGGATTTCTTGCTTCTCTGCCCCTCCTTTTCCTGCCTTTCCCCAAGCCTTTCACAAACAAAACCTGTTGGCATCTGGTCAGGCAAAACGCCCGCTCCCTTGGAGGATAATTCTGCAGGCAGGAGGACTTGGGGACAGCAAGATTTAGCTCTTATGCTCTCCATCAGCTGCCTCTGGCCCTCTCAGAGAACAAATTATCTACCTGCTTTGCTGTTTATGGTAGTGAGGGTTTAAAGAAACATCGCAATTGCTTCAAAAGAAAATGAAACTAATAAATTATGTGGATTATACCAGCCTGTAGCTTTCCTTATTTTATGTTTTGACCTTCTTTTGGTTATTACCTTTTTCATCAACAGTTTTTCAGTGTGAGCGTACCAGCTTTATGCATTTGTCTTTGCAAGTGTACCCTAGCAGAAGCTGAAAATTTACTCCATGCTCTTGTCCTTTGGAGGCCGTATGAACTCGTGTTTTTATCCCTTTCATGGTTTTTGATACATTCACAGAACACAGTGGAAGAAAAAAGGGCACTGTGTTTTGAGTGCAGAGAGGCTGTTGCTTAGAAAAAAAGCATTTGGGACTGATACCAGCAAAAAATGGAGCACTATATGTCTTTCATCATTTGGGTAGGAGGACATGTATTTTTCTCCCATTCTGACTCTCCTGCTGCAGTGGGATGCCCCACCACACTCACTTGGCTGCAGAAATGTTTTTGTGGTAAGTCCATGACCTTCCTCTGCTGGCAAGTACAGCAAATGTGCAGCAAAATGTATCTCAAAAATCCAACAAAATTCCAGCATGAGCCATGATGGGAAAGTTGGCATCTGAGGAAATTTGTGGAGAGGATCACGTGGTGGTTTTTAGGAGACCAGATGCTTGTAGTCCAATCTGCCAGAGAGGAGATGGCAGCATCTAATGGGCATGGTATTATTCCTGGCTTCCCAGCCCTCTGCCATATAAACTGGGAATAATTATGCTGGCACCTCTTCCCCTTTCTGTTGAGAACCCTCTTTGGATAAGAAGACAGATGCTAAACAAAAGGCTGAAACAAATCTCTACCAGCCTCAGGTCCTGCTGTTTCTTCCCTCTTCTCCTGATATACTAGTCATACAAGAATCAATTTTTTTAAGTATTACAGCTACAGATATCACTGGAATTGTTGTTATCTGGCTAATATTCCAATGAACAAATGTTTGAGTTTGTAGAAAGGATTCTGTTTGTGAAAGTGAACCCTTGTTGATTTAAAAATTTGTCTTTCAGAAAGCATTTGCTAATCTCCCCATGGCTTTCACTGATGAGCTTGACTGGCCCCAGTTCTCTGAATTCACAGGATTTCTGAACTCCACAATTGGGTAAGTTAAGCACAAGGTGAAGAAGACAAGTCTCAACAAATCTTAAGAACCTCAAAACACAGCAAATACTGGGGAAAAAGGCCAGTGTTTGAAAGGAAAGCTAAAAATGACGGTGAAGGCTGCTTCAGCTCTTTCTAAGATCCAAATCACCTCCAAATCTAGTGTTTCTCCTTTCAATCAATCTCCCTTAAAATTGATAGGCGATGCAAAATATTCTAGCCCCATCTTTCTGATGTTCAGTGCAGCTTTCAAAAACAGACAAATTATAATTTAGAAGAGGAAAAAAGAGGAAATGAAACTCTTGATTCTTTCAAAATTCAGCTGTGTGGGAAGGACAGGCAAAGGGGAGTATTGTTACCATTAATAAAAATCATCATTTTTCTTTTCTTAGCTTTTTAAAATTTTCCTATTTTTCTTTTCTTTCTCTTTTTCTCTTATCTCTTTTTTGTTGCTGAGATAATAGAAAAATGGTAATCAAGTGTTATACTGATGATGTCCCTTTTTGAGGTGACATTTATTCCCTTTTTTTCTCATTTGGAGGGAAGTAGCAAAAGAAGAAGTGGCAAGCCTCTGACCTAACTTGCTTGGTTGCACTGGCTGATGTGGATGGGGAAGAGTGCCAGATTAGACGTAAAGAAAAGAAATCTTGTCAAAAAGAGAAAAAAAAGAAGAATGTTCTGTATTTTATATGTTTACCATATAAAGCTTCTGCACTGAGATAGACCATGAGTATGATGAAATGCCCAAACCAAGCATGACCCACAGCTAAAAAAGTCCTCTAAGAACGAGATTAAAAAATTGGGATACTATATTCTTTTCCAGGAAAAAAATCTACTCCACCACACATTTGTACTTTCTCCTTCCTTTTCTCTTCCCTGCACAAAAAACAGGCTCCCAATCTCAGCTACATTTACACAGTGAATGTGTTAATGTGATCAGTACTTGACAAGCCAACAGAGAAGATCTCTGCAGACTCCTCTTGAAACAACAAAAGCAGCTTTAAAATCTATTATAATGGCCAATTACTGACTATATGGTATTTAAGTGGGCTGCAAAAACTTGTACGTAAGTACATAAGCAAGCAGGACTTAATGTTGACTCTGAAGTTGCCTTTGTTCGATATCTGGAAGTGAAAAAAAAAAAAAAAGAGGACAGTTTGCAAGTTCAAGACATTTTTAAGAGAAGCAGCTTAGAATCCCATAATGCAAGGAATGGGTCTGGTCAAGAGCAGGTGGAACAGAACAGTATGCAGAGAGGTTTATTGTGCTTGCAGAACCGGAGATGCAGCCTGATGTGATCTGTATTCATCCTCCCCACGCCAATCAGTCACCAGGGCCATGACCCATTAACTGCAGAGCACGTTCTCTGGCTCTGAAGTCCTGTTTGCTTTTCCTCATGTACACGTGCGCTAGGCTGAAAACCAGATTTCAAGCATACTTCGTGGAGCCTATTCCACAGTTACAGCTTAGCCTTATCTCAGGTTTCTATGTAGCTGCTTGCTTTTTGTCACTGATTTCAAAACACGTCATTTCTGCATTCATCTGTGTTTGCCATTCTTAAGCCCAGATACTTAAGTTACCTAATTTCTTCAGTGTCAACGTTCAAACACAAGATCAACAGCTCTGCTAAAGATCACCAGGTGTTCCTGGCTCATACTAAGAACTTCCCTTGGGGTTGTTGTTCTTTATGGGCCTCTTCATTTTTCTCAACAGTGCAAAGTAAAAGAGAAAACTGATCAGAATGAAACACAACCTGTTTTCTAATCAATCAGCCCAAGATTTATGATATTGGGAAATGAGTGCTCTGCCAATATTCCTTCTCTTTTATTTACTGTTCCACAACAATGACATGCAGTCAAATAGTGATCAATCAGCAAGATTGTTTTGATAAATGTTATATGACATAAAGGTTCTTAAACGCCTTACCTCAAGTACCAGGATAACCCTCAAGGATGAACAAGTTCAAAGAAATTCTCCATCAATTTACAGCTTTTGAGAGGATATATTTGCTTCCATTTTAGGCCAACCTATTCAAAATAAAGAAAATTTATGGCCTCAGAAAAGAGAAATGGCAAAACAGCAATATGTATGTAACTGGGGCACATAGCTGTATAAAGTCAAGAACATACTTCATACTAAATATCTAACATATTTTAATTGACATCACATGAGTTTAGCATCATGTTTTTTCTTAATTTATTTCAGAGGTTGGACAGACTCTCTGTATCTACGTTTACGCAGGAGAAATCGGTGCAATCACAGAGACCTGCAGAATATTTCCCAAAACGGTATGTTAAGTATGTTTACTTCTTTTTTTGTAAAACGAAACAAAACAAAAAACACTTTACTAAACAGATACTTAATGAAGCATTAGTGGATCTCTTTCAGGAAGTAGGAGAAAACCTTTTTTATTTTCATGCGTGTCTTGTGGAAAAGTAGAGAAAAGCGCTTTTTTAACTGAACACTGTTTCTTCTGACTGAGTAGGGAGTATATGCAGCAGGTGATCTACCTAGATATAAGAAAGTGTCTTACATGGTACCTCACCAGATATGTCTATATATGGTGAAGAAGAGGGGGATTTATATGAGATATAAGAGGTGGGTAAAGAACCAGCTGGACAGGCGAGAAGAGAGGGTTTGAGGGAGAAACTGCCCATCTGCAGAGGAGGGATTAGCAGCGTCCCCAGGCATCTGTCATGGGACCAGCGCTGCTTCGTATTTTGAGCAGTGAGCTCAGAGTGTGCTTCTGAGCACCTAGGGATGATGCAAAATTGCAAGGTACCAGCAATCCTGCAGCAGGCCGGATCTTTACACAGGACTAATTTAGATGAGCTTGTGAAGAGCAGAGATGGCAATGGCATGAAACGCAGTCCTATGTGCCAGAACTAGCGGGGAGACACTTGTCCACATGCTAGCAGCTCATCAGTGAGCTCCAGAAGGTGACGGCAGATTGGAGTGCAAAAGGGAATTTCAGGGCACTAGAAAGGGGCTAAGGGGGTTGCACGGTTCATCATGCACAAGGTTTTCTCTAGAGCTGGGGACGTGCTTGATCCTTAGGTAGCTGAGATCCTGCTCAGAAAGGACTGGGTTCTGCTTTTCTGATAGAGAGAGGCCTCAGGGAGGACTTGGGGAATGGAGACTTCTGCAGCATGTTAGAACACCTTGGCAACTTAGCAAAGCGAAGATTAAAAGTGACTGTGGTTTTTTTTTTTTTAATGCTTTGGTGGCATAAACAAGTCAGAGAGGCAAGAATGGTTTAAACTGAAGCAAACTTTTGCTACAAGAACAAGGATACTCATTAGTCATGTCTATTCCAAGTGGAAATTTCTAATTCAAGTGGAATAAAAAGTTACTGACTACCAGGAGTGAAAAAATAGAATAGCCCTCTAAACAGAGGAGTGAAGGTAAAAATAAATCCTGAGCTGTTTCAAGATGGAGTTTGATCAAATTTATCAAAGGGGTTGTATGAAAGGATGTCAGTTATCTCCCTTAGAAATTAAGTCTTACAGTGTTAGATTTTGTGTGTTGCTTTAGGTGATGTCCCTGAACAGCAGGTTTAAAAGATACTTGATTATTCTGTAATTATTGCATTTTATTTATATTGTATCTAATCATTTTTTCCACGCTTCAGAAAATTGGCTGAAGAAGCTAGGGAAAGCTTATGCTCCTCAGGTAGATAATTTGTCTTTGTGGGATAATTTCATGTCTGATAGATGAATCATATTGGCCACAGATGAGAAGCACTGCTGCCCCTAGTGGGATTTAA